TCAACTCCCAGAATTCTTCAGCCAGGCATGCTGGCTGAGGAATTCTGGGAGTTGAAGTCCACAAGTCATAAAAGGGCCAAGTTTGAAGACTCCTGTTTTAGAGTTTACAATACCTTTTCATATATTTTGTACCTCAGAAAGTTTTAAATCATCTACCATCAATTTTCAAAAAAAAAAAAAAAAACCCAGAAGGTGCTTTTTACAATCCTCGGGCCACAAGTTGCCATCTTGGTATAAGTTGCTCCATAATTTTAATTTCAATATATTCTATAGAAGATAGAATAATTCAACATGGAACTGCTAGAAGGAAGGATAACTGGGGTGTGTGTGACAAGACAAGACAGAAGGTATTGACACAGAGGTAAGACAGGTCAGTTAGCCCTTTGTACTGCATTTCCAAAGTGGATGCACTGCAGTTAGCCGAGTCATTTACAATGATTAAACTCTGACCTGAATACTAATAATTCTGCCCTGATACTACACTTCTCTCTTGAGGGTCAGACTCTTTTTCAGACCTTTCCTTTTCTTTCCTTGAAAAAAATGATAAGCCAATATATTGGGCAGACTGGCACATGGACAAGTTTACTCTCTAGGCTGGCCAGTAGTCCAAATCAACTCCAGTTTCCAGTTTAGTACATTTATTAAAGCATTTGGTCAGATATACCGTATATTCCGGCGTATAGGGCGACCCGGTGTATAAGACGACTCCCTAGTTCGACGCCAGGTCGCAAGACGATCGACGCCGAGTCGCATGCCTAGAAAGTCATCTTACACGCTGGAAACTACCTTATTTCCAGCATATAAGACCATCAACGCCAAGTCGCATGCCTAGAAAGTCGTCTTATACGCCAGAAACTACCTTATTTCTGGCGTATAAGATGACTCGGCGTATAAGACGACCCCCGAGTTCGGAGGCTGTTTCGACGCTCTCAAAAGTCGTCTTATACACCAGAATATACGGTAGTTGTACTTGAAAATAAAGCAAATCTACATGTTCCTAACTAAAACATACCAGAATAATAAATGTATCCAAATAAATTTATCCAGAATCTAACAACTTGATATTTAGAGACTCATTCCTTAAGAGTCTACAACTGAACGTAGCTGTGATGTTCTACCAGCTCCTTGAATACCAAATAGATTCAATTTGCTGGGGTTTTGTGGGAATTGGGAAGAGTTTCTAAGAAGGGAAATTCAAATGTTATTTATTTAGGTGTAAAGCTCTGGATGGATTATACTTTAAAAGAACAAAAGCATTAAAAATAAACAGAGATCATGTATGTCTGACCAAACTATATGAGTAGTAAAAACACAACAAACAGGTTTGCAACCACCCTGCTCCAAGGTGTAGGAGAGCAGTTTGGTTTTTAAACATTTCTGGAATCTCATCAGTGTGGGAACCACACAGATTTCTGGGTTGATCCCAGTTAGTATTGAATGAACAATCAGGGTCTAGTAACTGATCAGATTAAAGTTGAGTAATAATAGGAAAAACAGTCTAGGATGTAAATTCTGGTAGGATTTTGATCTGGGCATCTATGTATATAGCCTATAATAGACAACCTACAACCCATTGGGTCATTCTTTGTCAATATTTACTTACCTGAAGAGGTAAACAGAATGACTACCGTTAGCTAAAGAAGCAGTGGGAGCAGGAGTGATGTCTGATTTTTGCCAGCTTCTTCAGTAACTTTGCTTCTGGGAAACTGGCAGGGATATTGGAAATCAGGATCACATGACTGCGGTTGACCCCTGCAGCAGCCACAAGTTTGCAAATACAGCTGGTCTAAAGATTCTTAAAATTACAATTCCAGGGGAATAATTGGTCCCAGATTTTGTTTGCTTAACTTGACACATTGAGGTATAGTTCCTTGATTCAAACAAGGAACTATACCTCAACCCCTGGGCCATGTTCCGGTACCAGGCTGCAGCCTGTTGGAAACGGCCATGCAAGGAGTGGGTGAGCAGGAGAAACTCCATTTGCACAAATGGAGCTTCATGAGCAAGTGTGTTTGTGTGCTGCTTGTGCTAAACCATCCCCCTTCCCCCACCCCCATTTTGGCTAACTAAAGATTAGACACAGATAGTAGTAGTAGTAGTGTAGTAGTGTTCAAATGTGAAGGAATGGACTAGGAAAGGGGTAAATTGGATGCACCAATTGAGCTTTTAATATTGCTTGTAGAGTACAGGCTTGAGAGCAAATGTAAGTATTGGCAAGCTCCTCTTAGGCTCTTTTCTTTCTTCCTGGCATCAGAGTAGATTAAAAACTTTCTTGGCTACTGAAAGCTTAAGGGAACAAATGCTTACTTTGCATCAGACATGAGGATGTTCAAATGCTAGGAAAACAATTCTCTGTATTCTCATTTAAAATGGGAAGCTTTTCCTTATAACTAATGCATGTGATGTTCTGGTCACTAATGCATGTGATGTTCTGGTCACTAGTAACAGCAAATGTGTTCCTTGGTTCATTTTTGGAGAGGAAAAGTGAACTTATAATAAAAGAAAATAACTATATTTGTCTAGGTGTTAATATATCTGGCAAATTTATGTGCTGCCTAATCCCGGTGGCTTAGATAGTTTAAAAGCAAAGCTCTGTTTAACACATAAAAACATTTGAAAATAGCATATAAATTCTGTGAGCATTTAGAAAAAAAAACCTGGAGCAAAAAGATCTCTTTTAAACTGACTGTAAAAAGAGGGCCAGCTTCAACTCCAAGTGGCAAGTTGTTCCAGGATATAGAACATATGTTTTAGAAAAGGCAGAATCTTTAATGGAGGTTGAGGGGCTGCAAAGTGCTCAATTAAAGACTTGGGAGCATACAATAAACTATATGGAATTAGATAGCCTTGCAGCGGGTAAGTTAATGAATGAAGCAGGTTGAAGAGTCACAGAATATTCTGCTAGGGTAACTTCCTCCCACATGTACCCAATTCCTGCAAAAGGCTCATTAATTGCTCCACGTTGAACTAATAGTTGGTGGTAACTGCCAAGTTGAACCTCAGCAGCTGGCTCATAGTAGCTTGTTCCAAAAAACTTTCTCATTTTCAGGTTTTGGCTTTTGTTTTTAAGCCACAGGGTTGGCTTACAACTGCAACATAATCTGTAGTTCATTAATAGCAATGAAACTCCCTTATGGATTAAAGTCAAGCCAAGCTGTCAAACAGCATTGTCTCACTGAATGTTACGAGGGTGGAAATATTAGTATAAATATTTACAACTTTTCTGCATCTGAAAGATTGGCACTGCCTTCTGTTTATAGAAAACCCAACTTGGATCAAGGCACCAAGGGGCGCCTTTCTTTCTGAAGGCTGAGTTTAATGTAGGCTTTGTGTTTGTTTTTGTGAATTGAAGATGCTTTCAAACAAAGGCATCTCCACCCTTAACTTTTCCATGTGGACCAACTTGCAAAAGGCCAGAGTACATGGGAAGTTTCTTCTCTAACATGTTTTGGCAGTCCACTTCCCGTGGATTCTTCTGGGTCAACAAGATAAAAAAATAACAGATTTGCTGCAAGATTCAGCTTTCAGAAATGCAACCTTCCAAATACTGCCTCTAAACAAATTGTGGGGAAGTAATTTTCTTGATTGTTACAGTTCTGTGTAATCTTAAAATAGGGATGTACAGCTAATTAGTTGCATGAAATTCAAAAATCTTTTTTATGGTCCATGATGATTCTCCAAATTGCTACACTAAAATTCAGTGGTCCACTAGCAATAACTGTGGTGAAATTTTCTGCAGTTACTCAAGAAGATGACATAAAATTGTTGATGATCCATTACTATCATCAGTCTAGAACAGGGCTTTTAAACCAGTGGTACGGTTACCACCTGTGGTAAATTGGCACCTGGCAGGTGGTATGCGACCATCCTAGACAAGTGGTAGCGGGGGAGGGGAATGAGCTGAAGCGGTGGCAGCACCGCACAAGCCTGAGCGAGAGATGGCTGGAGCTTCAGGGCTGTCAGGGCTCAGTGGAAGCGCCAGGATCAGCGCCGGGCTTCAGCTGGAGCTCGGCGCTAATCCTGGAGCTTCTGCAGAGCCCAGAAGAAGCACCGATCAGCTGGAATATTGCAGCATCTCCAGGGTCTTGTGATTTACATTCAAATGCTTGGCAACTGAGTCATATTTATGATGGTCACAGTGTCCCAGGGTCATGTGAAGTGACCAAAACCTGCTGCAACCACCCAGTAGATGGGGGGAATAAACACCAAACACCCCCCACCCCACCCCCGCTGCCAATCCTCAATAGAAATGCTCACAACAATAAAAACCTCGGACAGGAGGAAGAGCGCCGCCGGGTGGGAAGACAGGTGTCTTGCTCAGCTGTGGCTTGGGGGGCACTTTTTTCAGTGCCATTGTAACTTCGAACAGTCACTAAGCAAACTGTTGTAATCTGAGGACTACCTGTACTTTATCACTTCCCCCCCCTTTTTTTTGGGTCATCAGGTTTTTGACACCTTGCTAGGCGACTGGTGGTAGTCAGATGTTGCCCTATCCTAAAAGTGGTACAATGGGTGAAAAGGTTGAAAAACCCTGTTCTAGAAAACTTAAACAAGAAATGCATTTAAAGAAAGAGAAAAATCAGTGCTTAGGTTGCATACTTAGGACCATCAGTTCCTATCATTTCTTGAGATTTATCTCTCTCCGCCTAATAAAAAACCTCTACAGATTAAAATAAGTACCTTTATAATAAGATATCCTGTTAAGTACATAAAGGGGAAGAATATTAAGCAAAGGATCCACAAAGCTAAGCTTTATTGATTAATCCAAGACTCATTATAATAAACTTCTGTCCATTGTGATTAGCATAACCAGAAATAAATATGAAAGGGACAGTTGTCATTCTCATGATGATCCTGTCCCATGCAAGGACATGTACGAGCCAAATGTATCCAGAAATAATATTTAAGGTTGGGGTGAAGCCAACAGGAAACCTAAGTACCATTTAAGGAATACTTTATTCACTTTCTTAATACTCTGAAATTTTTTTTTTCTTTTACAGACCCATGAGTGGAATAAGAATGATGACCGACTCCTCCAAGCTGTGGATAATGCAGATCTGGAGAAAGTGGCTTCTCTTTTGGGCAAAAAGGGGGCCAGTGCAACCAAACATGACAGTGAAGGCAAGACTGCGTAAGTTGCCTTCACCTTCTCAGTTGAATAACAACGGGAGGGATATTTGGTTGAACCAGACCTCCAGATTCTCCGCTGTGCTGCTATAAATGTTTATGACAAAATTGATGAAAATTGGCTAGTTTCATTTCCCATCACTTTGCAACTTGAAATATAAGGAGAAATAGTCATAGAACAATTACTGTACATTCCGGCGTATAGGGCGACCCGGCGTATAAGACGACCCCCGACTTCGACGTCGAGTTGCAAGATGATTGACATCGAGTTGCATGCCTAGAAAGTCGTCTTATACGCCGGAAACTACCAGTATTTCCGGCGTATAAGACGACCCCCGAGTTTGGCGCCTGTTTCAACGCTCTCAAAAGTCGTCTTATACACCAGAATATACGGTAAAAACGGCAACTGCAACCAAAAAAAGAGGTCCCTGCTGGTGAGGAAAAGTTTGTGTAGGGGAGGGGAGATGAAAATCTTGGAATCAGAAGTTGGAATTAGCGCCAACCCCTTTGGGCCATGATGCATCTGTGCTATGATGCATCTGCTACAGTCCTTAACTCTCCCTTTAATTGCATTAGAGGACTTGGCCATCAAAAGGTGACCCACTTATAGTTGAACAGATCGTTTATATTTATGAATGAAGGCAAACATATGAGTCCCAGGATAATGATGCAGGATCCAACCTGGATCAGTCACCGGGACCAGACATTTAGTCTTCTGAGCTTTCAGACTTGTGCTAGGCGCCATCCTCAGGGAACTTCTCTGGTGAAAAAGAAATTCTCCGAGGATGGGTTCCAGGATGAGTCCATGAGCTCAGAAGACTAAACCTCTGATCCCAGTGGCCGACTCAGATTGGATCCTGTTTATATTTAGCTTGAGTTTTTGGTTGCTCAAACTAGACTGATCCGACTCAGATTGGATTCTGTAAAAAGTTAGTTGGAACAATAGCTTGCAAAGTGAAAAAGAGTATCGTTGAAAGAACAAATGAGACACATGTTTTCAAATGAGATGAGATGATCTACTGCCATTTTATGCTCCTTCCCCACCTCCAGGGTATTTTCCAAGATTACTTTTTTCCTTATTTATCCAATAACACATGGAGCCACCGAGATAAGTAGCTAGAGCAGTGTTTCTCAACCTTTGACAATTTTAAGATATGTGGAGCTCATATCTGCATACCTAGCATGGTTGGGGCTGGGGAATTCTGGAAGTTGAAGTCCATTCATTTTAAAGTTGCTAAGATTGAGAGCTAGGGAGATATCGAGATGAAGTCTTGATGGATAGAAAGGGGAGCCTTCTTCTGTTAGTATTTTCTCTTTATGCATTCAAACTAGGCTTATGCAAAAGTCCTAATTTAATAGGCATAAGTGCAGAAACATGTAGCACCTGACGGGAACATCTTCAATAGATGTATTTATTCCACAGCTCCCTCTGCAGCTGATACATAGGCCTAGGAAAAGATATTTTCAACGTATATTTTCCAAATCATGTTTTCCCTTCAGATCCGGAGCTTTGCACTGTCTTAATAAGTAGAGCCCACTCATTTTGCCCTGAGACTAATTCACTTTTGGATATGTGTAGGATGTGGAATGTGTCATTCTGTCTGTATTGAATAACATTAAAATTAATTTTGCTTTAAAAAAAATGAACTAGTGTCAATCTGGACATTCATCCTCATTCTCCAGATAGCTGTCTGTGTTCCAGTTTGAATTCTGATAGCTCGTGCAGAATGTGTTGTGTTTCTCTTTCTTCTTTCTTTAAAGACAAAAATAATACAAATAGTTCCAATACTGAAAGCTACAGAAAGAATTGATTTCACTGGGCACTTCAAAAATAGCTTACAGTTTCAAGTCCCTTGATAAAAGAAAAGCCCTCTGAATTATATAAGTGAGTTGGAAAAAAGGAAGCAGCCAAGATGAGATGACTCTGGGCAATTTATGGCAAAGTCTGAAGCTGAAAAACAGAGCGTGCTCTCTTTGTTTACAGAACCACGTTCTTGGCTAATTCTCACTTGCTCTGAATTTGCTTTTGCTGTGTCCAGTTTCTGTTTGGGTGAAGAAATGAAATTACGTCTTTGAGTGACCTGAACTTGAAAGCTCTAATGTAGCTTCAAATTTCCCAAATAAGGCTTCCTCCACATCATAAAATGGCACTACAGGACCTACTTATCCGTTTATTATGTTTCAGAAGAGAGAAAATGGGAAATGGATTGAGTGTCTGTAACAGCCGGAGTGGGACAATTTGCCATGGCCAACTAGCCATGGTCAATTCGCTGCAGGACAATTCAATAATTCAATTTAATTATTCAAAACAATTTAAAAATTATTTTAATTTTTATCATTCACACTTCATTTTGTCCTCCCTTTTGCATCCTTTCTTTAATGATTCTATTCCACATTTTTTTTCAATATTACTCTTGCCCTGTAGTGAGTTGTCCCACAGCGAGTTGGCCATGGTGAGTTGTCACATAATGAGATGGCCATGGCGGGTTGTCGTAGACTTTCTGTTTGAAGAAATGAAATTACATCTTTGATCTGAATTTGAGTTTTTAACAGGAGAGAAACTGGGAAATGGGTTGAGTGTCCATAACAGCCAGAATGGGACAACTCCCCATGGCCAAATCGCTGCAGGACAATTCAACAATTCAATTTAATTATTTAAAATAATTTTAAAAATATTTTCATCTTTGTCATTCACATTTCATTTTGTCCCTCCGTTTGCATCCTTTCTTTAATGATTCTGTTCCACCATTTCTTTGATATTAGTGTGGCTCTTGTCCCATAATGAGTTGACGCACGGCGAGTTGGCCGTGATGAGTTGTCCTGCAGTGATTTGACTGTGGCGAGTTGCCCTAGATCTTATAACAGGTTCCTTTAAACTGTATCCTGCTCGTGTATTGAACTGCACTTTGAGAATGATGGGACTAATAGTCCCAAATATCTGCAGGGTATCTGACTGGTGAAAGCTTTTTGAAGACGGTGGGTTGATCCTGTTCTTAACCATTGGCAGACTGAAGCAACCATCTCAGACAATAGATCTTGGTTGTCATGAAAACACAGCAGGCTCCTGAGTTACATAATGTACAGATATTTTAGAGTCCAAAATGGGAAAGAGTGTTTATGTGATTTTGTGGCTCATATTCCAAAGTAATGTGCTGTTTGTTATAAATCTTGTTTCAGGACAAGAGTGCCTCCATTCGCTCCTCTATCTTAAGCAGCAAGGGAACTTAGGACCCAGATTCAAAGTTCTGGCAATTGGCCCCCCCTTGTGGTCCCATGACCAAACTTTGGATGCATTTATGGCCATGTGCAGCATCCCACAGTTATGTGACTGTGTTTTATGATAGTTTTCCCAAAACTCAGCACTTCCAGGTTTTGGAAAAACCACACCCTTGGTGAACTTAAACTTGAGTTTGTTTAACAACTGTGGTGATTGGGTTAACTATCACCACAAAAAAAAGGTTGCAGAATTGGGTCGGTCACATTTTACTACTATTGTGACATACAACCATAATGAACAAGTTTCATTATGATCATATGTTAAGGACTACCTGTATAGTAATTTTAAGTCATCTGCTTTTTATCACATTCAATTTCCACTGGAATGGGACTGAGAAGGATGAATGGTCACTTGCATACATATCTTCATGTATATTTTTTATTATTTTTTTCCTTTCTATAGTCTATTATCTTTAGGATAAGATGGCTTTCCATCTTGATCAATGGTTCTGAGCCTACCTGGAGTTACAGAGAGAAAAGTATTAATACAGCTTTCTTCAGCCGAGAAGCTTTCAAATGTATTGGATTTCAGTTCCATTATTCCCAGCCAGCATAGATATGCTGCTTTGGGATTATGAGAATCAAAGTCCCTCTCTCTTGGACTTCGCCACGAGGTTAAATAAGGTTAATTCATAAATTATTGGTACTGCAGAAATGGCACTTTTACTTGGCTGAATTCTGCAGAAAAAGTGCCCATAAAATGGTCACAATCTCAGGCTGAGTCTTTTTATACAGATGCTAGTGCCAGCTGTGCTGGCTATGAATTCTGTAACTAATTCCAGTACATCTGCAAGTTCCCCAAGTTGGGAAATTTTGGATGGAATGGGGATTGCTGAATCAGATAATACAAACCCTTTGTGCAATATTCTATTCTCTTTCATGGCTTTCTACTCAGGGAGATGAGTTTACAAGAATAGAATAGAAAAATAGGAATAGGAATAGAATAGAAATAGGAATAGAATAGAATAGAATAGAATAGAGCTAGAAGGGACCTTGGAGGTCTTCTAGTCCAGCCCCCCACTCAAGCAGGAGAACCTATACCATCTCAGACAAGTGACTGTCCAGTCTCTTCTTAAAAACTTCCAGTGACGGAGAACCCATGATTTCTGAAGGCAAGCTGTTCCACTGGTTAATTGTCCTCACTGTTAGGAATTTTCTCCTTAATTCCAGGTTGCTTCTCTTTTTGATTAGTTTCCAGCCATTGTTTCTTGTCCTGCCCTCTGGTGCTTTGGAGAATAATCTGACCCCCTCTGCTTTGTGGCAGCCTCTCAGATACTGGAATACTGCTATCGTGTCAACCCTATTACTTCTTTTCTTTAGATTGGCCAAACCCAAGTCCTGAAGCCATTCTTCATATGTTTTAGTCTCCAGCCCTTGGATCATCTTAGTTGCTCTTCTCTAAGCTTGTCTGTTTTGGTTAAGCTCAGTTCTCAGCAGGGTTTTTGTTTGTGTGTGACCATTCTTTCCCCCAATTCTCTGGTATGTACAGAGAATTGATTAGGAGGAGAGATGAAGCACATAGTTTCTCACTTTCTCCTGAACTTCAGAGATACCCAGAACTCCAGCAAATCTGAATCTCTCTGAAATCTAGTTATATCTAAACAGACGTCACCAAGAGAGGGTTTTTTTTAGAAGTGTTTCTAGGACCAACATCAGGTAATATTGATGTTCCTATTTCATCCAAGATCTGTCTCTAAAAATTACACCAAGAACATCTTGGCATATATT